GCACAAACCTTTCCAACATCCTGCTTCTTCCTCTCTGGCACCTTCCAATACAGCCACATCTAACACTGTGTAACATGCACATAGTGTTGCTCATTCATTCAGATAATACTTGTAGCTAACAGTCATATATGCACTTTACATGTATTATCTCAGTCAATCCTCATAATCCAATATGGAGAGAGGTATTACTCATTTCCCCCAATTTAAAGATTACGGAACTGAAGCACAGAAAGGTTAAGTACCTTACCCAAAGTCATACTCTAAAAGAACCAGGATTTGGGATTAACTAGTCTGATTCCTGGGTCTGTGTTCATAACTACATGTTACTGATCATTCACACACATTATTGTGTGCCAGGCACTGTACTAGGCACTTGAGCCTTCCAGGAGCTAACAGTCAAGGAGCAAAGAGACAAGAGTATGAAAAGGGTTACCACATGGCATGCAGGGGCTGCTGAGAAAGCCTCTTATAAGAGGGACATCTGACCAAGTCCTGGTCGTGGTGGGGTTCTGGCAATTCAGCTGAAGCCTAAAGAAGCTGAAGTTAGCCAGAGATAAGGGAGCAGAAGGAGAAAGAGGTCACAAAGGACTGGAGGCAAGAAAGAGAATGGCACGTTCAGTCATGGCAAACAGTTTTGTGTTGCTGCAATAGAAGTACACAAAGGCTCACTGACCTGCTGCTGGCGGGCGCCAATGTCCTCGGGGTAGAGGTGCCGGTGGGAATGGAGGTAGCCGCTGGCCACTTGGAGGTTCTTCACCGTGATCACAGAGCCATAGGCCAGGTCTGAGAGGAAAGCCGGCAGTGGAAGGTGTGAGCTACAGTCTGCCCCAGACTGGGGTTCAGGACTTACTTAACCCTCTAGACTCTTCATTGAACCAGGGCTGTCTAAAGCTGATTGACAGCTGCCTTCTTACTCCAGCTGAGTCAACTCAAGAGGCAGCTACTATAGGGTTCACTTGTGTCCTCCCATCCCTATCTCCTGAAGATTGCAGAAGAAGCTGGGTATTAACAGTGTTATTATCAAAGCACTGTTTGCAATAGCAAAATATTTGAAGGAATTTGTCCTTCAGTCAAGATCTATACATCCATTCGATGGAATAAAGAAAGTAGTCTGTGTCTTCATCTGGAGAACTCTCTAGGATATAATGTTATAATAGAGTTGTAAGATAGATTTGCACTAAACATCCTTCTGTGCCTTTGAATCTAGTACCCACTCAAAGTAACTATTCAATAGGGTTTTTTTTTTTTTTTTTAACTCCAAATTGAGAAAAACAAACAGTAAACAGCTTGCCTAGGAGGTTTTCTCCTGCAGGCCCTGGGCTATTGGGAAGCCTATTTTCTTATTACTGTCCTTCTTGTCAATGTCCTGTGAGCTGGCTGCCCCCACAATTCACCACTCTACTGAACAAGGTCTCTCTGGTAGCAGTGATGACCTACTCCTTCTCTCCTTTGCTCACTCAATCAACAGAATGCTTCTGTTTTGATTACCTAGTGCCGCTCTGACAAGAATATACCACAAATGGGTTGGCCTTAACAAACAGGAGTTGACTCTCTTACAGTTTGGAGGCTTTAAGTCCAAGTCAAAGTGCCAAGCTCTAGGGGCTGGGTGAAAGCCCCTCAACCTTGGAGTTCAGCTCTGCCTCCTGCTCTCAGCCCACTGGAGCTAGAGGCATTTCTTCACTCAGACAGCTGCTGGCTGCTGAGGCTGACAAACCCAAGATTGACAAGCAAAAAGGCATAGTCCCAATGTTACCAAACCACATGGCAGGCCATTAATTTAAGTCCATTATAAGTCCCAAGGGAGCTATGGTAGCATAGTGCTTAAGGCACTTGACTGCTAACCAGAAGGCTGGGAGTTCAAACCCACCAGCCACTCCTCGGAAGGAAGATGGGGCAATCTACTTCCGTAGTGATACTGCCTCAGAAACCCAAGGAGGGGTCACTATGAGTCGGGTCCGACTCAATGGTACATCACAACAACGTAAGTCCCAAGGTCGGCAGAGCATGGCAGGCTTGCCGAACAACGACACAGCTACATGCGGGGTCCAAGCGTGCCATAAACTAGAGACCATTCCCAAGCTGTTTCTTATATATGGGAAGCAGATCACATACCCAAAGGCAGCTACTCAGCTGCTTGTGGTAGATCCTACCATGAAGCTGGATTGCCAGTCTCATCATGGGGAATAACTACTACCAGCTGCCTAGCCATTCAACCAGGCCCAGCCAAGTTGAGCTGACATACAAATTTAACTACCACAGCTTCAATTACACAGTGGATCCAAAGGTGGAGGTAGCTGGCTGAAGCCCTGTAAGAGCCCTGGCTGGGGGAACGGCTTCACACACTGACAAGTGACAATGGACAAGTGCTTCAGCAGGGGTATGACAATGCATGACACAGTGGGAACCCAGAGCAGGGTAGGACAAATTCCTTTCCGAGAAGAGGGAAACTTGATGAAAGAGGTCATAGCTGAGGTGAGCCTTTTAAATAATGAGTGGCATTTGTTAAACCCCATTGTTCCATTTTTCTAAGTTTTTATGTAGGCCAGCACTTGTAGCCCTGGACACTGCTGACCACCTTTGCTTCTGGGAATGCTCCCTCCCCTTCTCTGGCCCTGCACTGCCCCTTGGCAGCTTCCTGCCTTAGTTCTTCTTCCCCCTGCATTCCCCAGTGATCTGGCCTGAGCCCTGTTCTCTTTCCACAGTTCCCTGAAGATCACAGCCACTGCCGCAGCATCACTCACCCCTTTACGTGCTTGATTCTTCCTTTGAAAACATCAGCTCCAAGCCCACTGAGTCTAGTTCATGGATTTCCCCAAGTACCTCGGTCAACCTCTCTAATATGGAACTCAGTACCTGCTCCTCCAAACCAGCTTTATCTCCTACCTTTCCTGTTTCTCATTCTTTCTAAGTCTTGGAGAACCCACTGTGGTCTAGACACTGCATAAGGCACTGGAGAGACAAAGTGAGTAAGCTGCAGTCCCTGCCTCAATGAGATAATCACCTAGGCTCAAATCCTCAGTCACATCTCTCCACCTCTCTTTCCGTGTCCGAGCTCCCTTGTACATGCCTGTTTATCTTACCCCTGAGGCTGCTCCTGCAGTAGCTTCCCAGAGGATCCCCTTGCCTCCAATCTCATCCCCTCTCAAGCCATCATGTACTCTGCCACCAGTCATCTCTCTCCAGCACAGACTTCCAGGCCTCCTCCCTGTTCAAACACCTCCCCTGGGTCTCCACTACCTGTTTAATGAACTCAAACACCTCACCCACACGTTTCAAGTCCCCATCATCTGGACTTACTATCTTTTTAACCTTATTTTCTAGTACTTTTCTGAGTATGACATGTGCCTCGAGTCTGCCCCATCCTCGGCTGTGATCCCATCCTTTCTGCTTCATGTGCTCCCTCCTCCCCTCCACCTGTTGAAATCGATGCATTTTTCAGGACCCAGCTCTAAGGCAACTTACTTCATGCACCTCTGATTCCCTCCAGCCCCCAGCAGAAGTGATTTCTCGCATCCTTCGATCCCATAGCTCTATGTTCCCTCTTTATGGACTTAACACGTGGTCACGGTGTATGCAGATTCTCTACACCAGGCTCTATGCTCTGGAGGGTGTCCATTCCTACAGCTTCCAACATGGCTAACACTTGTTCAGATACTGTCTGTGAACAAATGGGTGGGAGTCACAGAATGCTGTGCTGGGATCCGCCACTGGCCCTGGAGAGTCTTGTTCTGTCACCACGTTCTCTCTGGGTGGCTCCCCACAGAGCTGGCTTGGATCCTTTCATAGATGCAGTGAAGTTGTTCTTCCGGCTCAAAGACTTTGCTGCTTAGGACATGTTCCTCTGCATCTCCCTTGTCCTGATTCACTGGCCTGAGTACCCTTACCAGATCTAACTGGATCTCTCTCACACTTTGTCATCTACAGGCTAACATAACTCAAACTATCACACATGTCTTTTCCAATTCAGATCCCAGGAAACCCTTCTGGTCTTCCACCTTCGTAAAGGCCCAGGGACACTCACGTTCGGGGATGGAGGCATTGTGAAGGTTGTTCCCTGAAAGCCGGGCCTGGAAGGCAGAACTGAAGAACCCATCGCCAGGACCACTGTGGAGAAGGGAGAAGCAGCAGAGCACATGTTCATGGAGTGAACACGGCAATTTCCCAGGAGCCCTTGGAATGGCTCTGTGCTGTCAGTTTAAAAGAAGTATAATTGAAGCGGCGCAGAGGGCAGACGTGGGTGATGGAAGTAGAGAAATCAGGGTCCAGATCCCAACTCAACTACTTACTAGCTGGGTGACCTTGGGCAAGATAGCTAACATTTTTGAACCTCAGCTGCTTACAAACTAGGAATATAAGAAAATCAAAAGAATCACAAGTGACTTATAAAATAAGACAAAGTACACAAAATGCTAACACTTAGTAGATCCCCATTAACTGGGAGCTGGTGCGGGTGCTGTGATTGTTGTTATTATCACTCCCACTCCACACCCTTGTTGCCCATTCCTGCTGACCAAGGGATCTGTTCAGGGCTAACGGGCAGTGTAGCTGTTAGGAAATTCTCTCCTTCATACAGGTCAGGGTGCTTACCTTTCTGAGCCCCTGAGACACTCAGAGGATAGAAGACACAGGGTGAGAACAGAACCAAGCCCCGGGTACCCCTCCTACCACCCCAGCCACAGACCCAGGAAATCAGACAGTGCATCCAGGGGCTTGGAGGCAAAAGGCAGACCTGAAGTGCATGGCCGGAAAGGCTCTGGCTGTACCTTTTATTCAGCACCATGAAGTGAACAGCAAAAGTGGCCGTGTAGAGAGCCAGGGGCAGCACTATGAGGCAGAGGATGCGTGCCGCCAGGTGTTTTCCCACAGTCACCTGCAAACAGAGGCCAGTGTGGGATGGTGGGCATACAGGGCTTTATTATTCCTCATACCTTATGTGTGCCTTATATATAAATTTTAATGTATAAATCATAATGATAAAAAACAAGAAAAAAGCCAATAGGAAAGAATATGTGGGAACCCTAAGTGCTTCTACAATACCCACCCACAAGTGCTATAGGGTGTTCAACACAGGCTAGCCATCGGCTGCACCCCCAGTCCCTTCACCCAGGACCCCAAACTGTCACTGCAACACAAAGTGCCAGCTGCGTCTTCAGTCTCTTCACTCACCAGACCCCTCTGCGCTGCAGCCTCCCTGAACCCCTTGCACTTCCTTGCCCTGATGCTTCTGCACAGGACCAGCCCCACAGAGCACATGGCTCACTGCTCCTTAGCTTCACTTCAGGCCTCTGCTTCCTCTCAGAAGCCTTCCTGGGTTGTGCAAGAGTGGGCTAGTGCCCCTGCTCTATGCTCCCACAGCACTTGTTCTCTGGATTGTAACTGTCTTTACTTGGGTCTCTCTCCATTGTCTCTAAGGGTCAGGAATCATGTCTTACTCATGTGTCTTACACTCAGTGGGTGGTCTCTATATATTTTCTCAAGGAAAAAATGGACTTGTTGGGAGTTAAGTTCAGAGGCGGAGTCAGCCTAACCTAGGTCTGGATCCTAGATCTACCCCTTACTACCTATACAATGTTTGGAAAGGTGGGACTTCTCTAGCTCTCAGCTTCCTCGTTTGTAAAACAAGGGTACCATCTAGCTGCCTCAGAGGGTTGTTCTGAGGAGTAATGAGATAAGGAAGGTAAAGCACTGTTGCACAGTACCTGGCAGAGAACAGCCTTTGATCAATCATAGTACTGTCATAGACCCAAAGGCCCTTCCTAGCCTCTAAATGTGGAGATGCTGAGTCAGGAAAAATTCAGAAAGTCACTTCACCCATTTCACCGATGGTCCCCATGTAGTCAGTGTCTGCCACACATCTGGCCTGAGCTCAGCTGGACAGAATCTCCTGGCTGGGTAGTTTGTAGAGCATTTAAAAGACATCACAGAAACAAATGCCAAAAGAGAATTCCCAGATGGTGGTCCATCTTCTCTCTCCCTTTATGCCTCTCCAGCCTCTCAGCCGTGGTCACTCCCTGCCATCCTGCTGCCAACAGAGGGCAGCTGGATCCAGCCCTCCTGTGGCCCAGAACATAGTCACTCCACCTCCTGAGCAGAGGCAGAGAAAGGCCACTGGCTGAGCTGGGTCAGGGAGCAAAGACTTTTCTAAAAGCATGTGGGTTCTCACCAGTGAAAGACTGAGGTCTCCAAACAGGTGCCAAAGGTCTGAAATGGTGTTCAACCCCACTTGCAGGATGATAAAGAGGCCAACAAACTTGACCCCTAGAGCACCAGCGAGACATATGCCAGTCAGGCTGAGCCAGAACCACCAGGGGGCAGAGAAGGGCCTGAAAACCAACAAGACACACAGTTCAGTTTGGCAGCTGGAACCAGACTCAAAGCAAGAGCAGCAAGTGGGAAGGGCAGAGGTTTTCTGACTCAGAGAGGCTAAGCTGTGCCCTCTGCCTTGGGGGTTCCTAAACTCAGGGGCTGTGGCATGGCTCCACAGCGGGCATGTCTGTGAAACCCTGAAATTGCAAGCAAACTTCTATGTGGGAGTGAGCAGGATGTTTTTCTGGGGAGAAGGTCATTGCATTGCTGGCTATTTGCAGGGCTTAAAAGCAAGCCAGAGGCTCATTCTTCAGTAGTAACCATCAAGTGGGAGCAGAAGGAAACTCCAGAGGAGCCCACCAGATTCAGTAAGCTCTCTCCTCTGTGTCACCTCCAGATCTTGTAAAAGCCAACTACCACACACAGTTCCAAGCACCTTATACAAGTAACCCTTTTAATCTTCACTACAGCCTCATGAGGTCAATCCTACTATCTGTTTACATGTGAGGCACAGAGAAGTTAAGTCATACAACTAGTATGTGGAGCATGGTACTAACCCAGGAAGTCAGATTCCAAGGTTAGTGCTCCTAACCATTTTTCTATGCATTGCAAGTTTCTGAATATTGGCTACCTCTTCTTCCAAGAGTAAATGTTTCTTAAAAGCCAAGACCTACACACCTCTGTACCTTCAGCTCCTAGCACAGTACCTGGCACATAGTATATATTCAAGAAATGGCAGGTGGAAATGAACATGGCAGAAAGAGAGTATTATCCAAAGTCAGTGTGGGCCAGTCATCACTGGATCAGGTCTGATTAACATAACGTAGCTTAATGAGCTTGGCCACAAGTTGCCTTCTGGAAACGCCTGGGAGAGGTCAGCTCTCTTGGTTTAAATGGAATGGATGACCTATTCCACTCTCTAAGGCAGAAGAATGATATGGAAAGACTAGTCTCAGGGGAAGACCAGGCCATCCAGATCAGCTTTAGAACCTGGAGGAATCCTCCTGACTCAGAGTCAAGTAGACCATTTAAGCCAACCTTTCTTATTTCTACCATTAGGTCAGGACTGGACACAACTATTGAGGCCAGGGAGACAAACAGTTCCCAGGCAGCATCTATTCTAGTTCCTGCTCCTCTAAGATGGAGAATGTGAAGGATACAGTTGTTCTGGGACCTCCTAACCGGCAGTGGTACAAACAGCTGGCTTATGAGACAGATGGGGAGGAAGAGGGTATTAGGTCCCTTCCATAATATCCATGAATCATTAATCAAACCTACCCCTTTATTTTATAAGTAATAATAATATTCTTAGAAAACAGGCAATTGACATTTTCTCAGTCTTATGTAAAACCAAAATAAAAACATCTAAAATGGTCAATGTAAGTTTAAAAAAAAGTATGCTTTCCTGTAAACTCAGCTTCAAGACAAGTCTTCTAGGCTCCCACCCCAGCCCTGGCCATTATAGGAATTCTGGAGCTGCCAGAGCTTCTGACCCTCCCCCCCGCCCAAGATTGTGTTTCTGACCTGTCTGCGCAGGAGTTGTACTTGACCATGCTCAGCATGGCAGCCATGATGAAGAACATCAGGATGGGGTCAAGGAGGATGTACTGAGACAGAGTGAGGCATCCTGTGTCTGCAAAAACATTAGCTTACTAGTCAAAAAGTAGAGTTAGAGTTGGGGCCCACTGAAAACCAAACACCGCAGCAATAGGAAACAGTCCCCTTTGCATGTAAGCACTTGGGCAGTCAAGGATAAATGGGCCACTGAGTCATCAGGGAGGGAGAAGGCCACAGCTCTGGGGTGTACTAAAAGCCCAGTGATGAAAAACTGTTTCACACCAGTTCCATTTCCTTGACCCAAGAAGGATCATGTCATGCACTGAGATGGAACAGTCCTGAGCGCTGGGCTCTTCTTCATTTCCATGAACAAAAAGGGAGTTCTGCCGCCCTGCTAATGTGGCCACCAACAACCTACACAGATAAAAGCCTCACGTTTCATGTAACTGTCTCTGTTGAAGGGTGATTCTCCACACAGCTGCCAAGACAGGTGGTGTTTTTTTTTGTTTGGCTGGTTAGTTTTTTAACTTAAATCTCCTTATATTATGTCCCAACTAAAACCCTCCAATGTCTTCCCATTTCACTTAGCATAAACAACTCCTCACAGTGGTCTTCAAAGCCCGCCTGGTATTTCCCCTGCCTATCTATCCAACCTCATCTCCTACCACCCTCTGCCTCACCCACTCCACTCCAGCTACATTGACCTTCTTGCTGTTCCTTCAATCTACCGAGTACTGCCTTGAACCACTGCTCTGCCTGTTCCATCTGCCCAGAATACTCTTCCCACAGATATCTGCATGGATTGATCCTTTACTTTACTCGAGTCTCTGACCAAAACCACCTCCTCAGGGAGATCTTCACTTTACGCCCAGAAGCAATGCGTCTCATTACTCTATCATTTACCCTGCTATACTCTTCACTTTGCACTTACTGCTCAAGATGTGACACTGTAGACTAGTAATCGACTTGCTTATCTGTTGTCTTCCTCACTAAAAGGTAAGCCCAATGACAGCAGAATGTCTCATCAGTTATGATGAGGCCCAGGAAAGTGGCCTGGCACAGAGTGGGCATTAGACAAACAGCTGTTAAATGAAAAATGAATAAATGACTGAATGAATGAATAACTGAGGAGGAAAATTAAAACCACAAGGAAAAACCCACCAGTCTTGTACAGAAGGCCCTACCATCTTGTGAAATAGCTACCAAAACAAAGCCAAAACCACCCCTAAAATACCCACCTAAATTGGCCTGGACTCTATGGTGAGCTCTGTGAGGTCAAGAACTCACTCTCATAAAACAAGGCTAGCAACAGGACCAACTTCTATGGTCAACTTTTTGTATCCATGTAAGTAGTCACAACAAATATGTACATGGCCATTTTGCTTTCCCCTGTCACCCAGCTACTTCTAAGGGTATCTGCCCTTGCATTCAGTTAAAATGAGTTTAGGAAATGCAAACTAATCTTGACATTAGCCTAAGAGTGGCAGAATTAGAATTCTACATCCGTCAAACACACACACAAATATATCTTATTATGTGTTCTAAATTCACATGTAGATAATCTGGAAATTATCTATTCCTCGGGATTCTCCATGCCAACTCTCCCCTGCAGCAATAGAAAGCCTTGCTACATATATCTGTAGATATTATCAGTGAATAACATGTTTATACATTGCATACAGTTCTAAACTTAATGATGACCTGGACCCATAGATATGACCCTTAAATGTTAATAGTGCGGCAGTCAATTTCCCAAGAGATGTGGTATAAGACAACTTACCGAAGGTGAGGAGGGCAGCGGTGAGCAGTGCTGCTGGGAGAGACTTGGAGAGCTCCAACACAGTGAGGTAGGCAAAGGGGATCAGACAGGAACCCAGGAATGCACAGAACTGGAGAAGGAAAAGGGATGCAGTCAAATATCAGGGTGTCAGGGGTCTGTGGGACTTTAAGAGGAAGGATCTTGACAAACTTTAGCTACCTAAAATCATATGAAATCTCTATAAGTAAGAAAATGGTGGTAAACAGTGAAGAGGCAAATTAAGCAGCACATGTTTCTGCTAAGCACCAACTTGTGCACTGATCTGAAATCAACAAAGTTCAGCAGGTCCTGTCAACATGTAAGATGCCAGGAAGGTGTGAGCAGATAGCACAGTGGTTTCAGGTTGGGGACTCTAGTGTTGGCCTGTCCTATCACTGTTAGCTGTGACCTTGAGAAAGTCACATCTCTGGATCTCAGCCTCTCCATCTGTACAATGTGAAAAACAGAAGTTCCCACCTCATAGGGTTTACACTTTAGATTAAATAAGACAAAGGTTTATGAGCACATAGAAAGTGCTTGGTAAGTTAGCATCTATGTGAAGCCATGGGTACAAATTGAGAAAGACCTCTCTGAAGGTGCCTCAATATTTTAGAGAATTCCTGCATTATTCTCTCAATTTCTTATCTGGAAATCTCCTAATTTCACCATCAAATCTGAGGGACAATTTTGCCAGGTATGTAATTCTTCATTGGAAATTTTTCTCTTTCAGGGTTTTATATATACCATCCCATTGCCTTTTTGCTTGCATGATTTCTGCTGAGAAAACAGAGCTTATTCTTACTGGATGTAATTCTTCATTGGAAATTTTTCTCTTTCAGGGTTTTATATATACCATCCCATTGCCTTCTTGCTTGCATGGTTTCTGCTGAGAAAACAGAGCTTATTCTTACTGGTTGTCCTTTGCAAGTAACTTTTTGTTTTTCCTGTGGTGCTCTTAGAATTCTTTCTTTCTCTTTGGTTTTGATGACTTTGATGACGATATGTCTTGGTGATTTTCTTTTGGGGTATATCCTATTTGGGGTTCATTGGACTTCCTGAATGGATATATTCTCATCTCTTATCATATCAGGGAAGTTCTCTTCCAATAAATCTTGGACAATTTTCTTAACGTTTTTATTTTTCTCTTCCTGTTCTTGAATTCTGAACACATGTAGATTATTCCTTTTGATGGTATCCCACATGAACCTTAGGCTTTCTTCATTTTGTTTTGATCTTTTTTCTGATTGGTCCCTTTCCCAAGAAGTATTCAGGTATTTGTTTTCAATCTCATTCATCCTGTTTTTCATTGATTCAATTCTACTCCTTTGTCCTTTCAATGTGTTATCTATTTCTGAAAATTTAGTATTAGTCTTCTGGATTTCTGTGTGTAAATTTTGTATCATTTCTAATTTCTCATTTATTTTGTTTTTGTATTTTCTTCCAAAATTATTCTATGGTTTTATCTGTGTTTTCCTTAATTTTGTCAGTGTTTCCTTGATCTGTCTCTCAATCTTTTGAAGATACCTAAATATAATTCTTTTGAATTCCTTATCAGGGACTTCCAATGCTGCTTCTTCCTCAGGGATGTATTCTGGGTCTGTATCCTGCTCCCTTGTTTCTACCACTTTACCTTGCTTCTTTGTGTGGACTGTGATGGTCTGTTGTCTCTGAGGCATTATGATGTTGTTGTATTTAGATCTCTGGTAACTGTTTGTAAAGAGTAGCTAAGGGTGAATCAGGCTCTTCTTGGTGGTCGTTATCATTGGCCAGTTGGAAGAGAAAGAAGTTGGTAAATAAAGAAGTGGCTCTCACTCAGTAAGTGAAGCTGCAGGGGGTGTGGGTGTAGTTGTGTCATATGGGGACTGTTGCTGTCTCCCACTCAGACAAAAACAACAATAGAATAACCATCAAAAAAGCAAAAGCAAGTGACCAAAAACACACTGTGTAAACACACAGGAACAATAACCAAAAAAAAGAAAAAGAAAAAAAAAAACTTGCAATATCTGGGGAGAGGGCAATAAGAGGAAAAAGGTAGAAAAGGAGAACAATGAAGAAAAAAATGTGAAAAATTTAAAAAAGAAAACAAGGAATGGGGTTAGCCATGAGAAAGAAAAAACTGGGAACCAAGAACAGGGAAAAGAGAAAAAGCTGAAAACTAGAACCTGGGAAGGGAAGAATAAAGAATAGAACTAAAAAGGACAATAATAATAATAATTTTAAAACAGACAAAAACAAAGAAAAAAAGGGGGGGGGATCAGGACTGGCCGGGGCAGGGCACCCAGGCTCTGTCTGACCACACAGACTGGGATGGAATTCCTGCCAGCCCAGAAGGTGGGTGGGAGTGAGGGATGGCCACACTTCCATTCATCAAGAGGGTGTGGGGAATATCGTACCTTTCCAGTCGCTGGTGTCCAGGATGTCCTTGTGGTTCCTGGCAAGTGGAGCCTATTCTTAAATCCCTGGAATCTAGGAGAATGCTGTAGCTTTAAATATCTGAAATGGTCAAACTGCTTGTAAACATTCAAAATGGCTGTGCCCTCTGGACAGGCAAAAGTCCACAGCTCAGCCTGCCTTCCTCTTCACTGCTTCCCCTTTTATTTACAGCCACCAATGCAGTCCTCCGTGCAGCCTCTGGCTAGCAGGGCCGATTTTAAGGTTAATTCTTAGGTCATAATACCCCTTGGCAATATTTAAGCTGTCCGGTGCCATCAGGATCGCTGACAGACCACAGCTCCGTATGTCTCCTTTTTTGGTGTTTTCATACAAGTTCTTCTACTAGTTGGAGTTCAGTCCACTTCTATACCCTTCCCTTCAAAGCTCAGGGCTCCAGGATTATCTTCTGTATCTGTGTTAATTCGTTCCCCTTTTCTTTGGTGAAGAGGGTCTGTGCAGTCTGTCTGCCTATTCTGCCATCTTACTGGAACTCCTATTCCCTTGATTTCTTTCCTGACTTTTTTTTTTTCAACACCAGAAATCCACTCTTTAACCCATAGGAAGAATTTTAATTTGGGCAAAAAGATGCTTCAGCATCTGGAGGATTGTTTGATTTTAGGTTTTGTCTTTTCATCATCAGCCCCCTGTCATCCAGAAGGTCAGAGGTTCACACCCACCCAGAGGTGCCCCTGGAGATCGGCTTCTAAAGGCCACAGCCTCGAGAGCTCCATGGCGCAGTTCCACTCTGCACAGGGGTCACCAGGAGCCAGTCTACTCGATGGCAACTCGCAACAACTCCCATCCAGCACACAGCATGTCCAAGTCAGCAGGCCAGAGAAAGGACACAGGGAGGCCCAGGCAAGGAGACATTCTCCCTTCCATTCAGGTTGCCACCTTTTGTCAAGCAGAAAGCAATGTGCCCAGTGTTAAAGGAAATGAGGCTGTTCTATTTGGCCTTCTCAATTTTCATAAGTCCACAGTGAGTCCAGCCCTTAGTCAATTGTGTATGCTACGTGGTGCTCAATAGGCATTAGGAAGAAACATTTCATAATGCGAACATGAAGGCAGGGGACACCTGTTTAATATGGCATGACATGACCATGCAAATCATCCGACGATTAGTCCAAATAAACAGCCATTTATCTAAGTGCTATGAGGTCCTTAAAAGAAGGAGCTTTGTAAACACAAATTGCTCTGGGAGCCCCATGTCAGAGGTCAGTTTCTTTAGGCTTCATTTAGCTACAGGTATAGGAGCTCTGGTGACGTAGTGGCAACTGACTGCTAACCAGAAGGCTGGCGGTTCAAACCTACCAGTGCACCAGTGCAATCCTCTGTACAGCCCCTGGCTGCAGGCTGGACAATCTACTTCCGTAGTGATACCGCCTTGGGAACCCAAGGAGAGGTCACTATGAATTGGATTCAACTAGATGGCACTGAGTTAGCTTCAGATATAGGCTCCCAGAGAGTAGGGTGCTTAGGCCCTGCCATGTTCCATCAGAGCTGCTGCTGGGAATCAGAGCACAGAGGGACGAGGACAAACACATGGCCTCCCTTAAATCAGGTTGGAAAAACCCTGTGTATACCTGAAACCTTGATGGGGAAAGAAGTAGGAACCTCAGGGCAGAAGTAAGACATGCTGGAATCTTAAGAAGGGGTCCTAAGAGAGAGGCAATACTCCAGCAGCTGTGGTCGTCAAGAGGAGGAATGTGGAATTTGCCCGGATGCTGAGGCCAACGCCAGGACTACAGGAGATGGCGTCTGGCTGCCTGGGTTATCCTGCCTCCCCTACCACCCCAATCCCTTATCTACACCTCCCAGGGCTTCCACCTGTAACATTTCTGACTGAGTGAGGTGTCAGGTTCAGTCTATAGCAAGTCAGAAAGCCTTACTCCTCTCATTCCCATGTAGCTGTGGTGCTCATACTTGTCCCCAGGCTTCTGGAACAAAAAGGTACCATCATATCCACTCAGGTAGCCAGCAAGACCTATCAGCATCTGAGGAGAGAAGGAACACACAAAAAGATAAGAGACCTTTAGAACGTTTCTCTGTCCCCTACACTTCCCTACAGCTGCACCCACAGATGCTGGCTTCCTCTGACAAATGTCCAAGGAGTTGCCAACGTGACATTTCCTCCTGCAGCTGTTGCAGAGCAAAGAATCTTTTGTTGACAGAGCTCTCGGTTAGAAACAAACCCTCTCTGTGTCACAGCCAAGTCCCTGTGAACAGTGCAGATTGAACAGTTAGGAAGAGAAATTTGAGGGCAGGGCCAATAAGGGGCTCCCTCATTCAGCCTTCCTGAATTTGCTGTGAAATAAAACACATGGCAGGAGGCCATAGGCAGAGGCTGACACAGGATCTCATCCAGAGGTCTCACCTGGCCCATTCCTGGGAGACTGGCCAGTGAAAGAAAAATGAGGTCCTGAATCAGGACGAGGAGGGAGAAAAGTGACCAAGGAATAGAGAGAAGGAAAGAAAAAGGAGAAAGAGGAATGCGGAAATGGATATATTTCCCCAGAGGGGAAAGAAAAGTCCCAATGGAAAAACTGCCAAAAGGTCAGAGACTGGTTTCCTCAGTTTCCAATATTCCAAAGGAAGGCGACTGTGGCACCTGTCAAGCCAGAACAAAATCAACGACAAGCTGGGCCTGGGAGTCAGAAGCCCTTCACACATTTGAGAGGAGAAGCTTCTTCTCCATTTCTCTTTCCTTGGCTCTCAACGTTGTAAAATTCCCTTTCGCACATTCAAAAATAGCTACAGTATAAAAACTGTCAACAAATACCAACTACCTGTGACAACCTTAGGATGCTCCAGCCTGACTCCTGTGCCCCAGTCAGCCTGTGCAGTGTAGTAAATTACTTAGTGTGGCTTTTCTACCCATAAGTCTTTGTAAACTCCAAAGTGGGATTTGCTATGAGCAACTGAGGAGCGCCTGATTGCTAAAGTTGTCCACCTGGAGTATTTCTGTTGGAAGTGGCACAAAACAATGTTCTGGGAGGTTCCCACTCTCTCTCCGGTGCTTAGAGTTCTGATGCTATGATTGGCTAGTTTGGCCACTCTGCTGGGCTCAAAAGGAGGCCTCCTAGAGGCAGAACTCTCTTTGACTGCTGGTTGAGGAAGTCATGCTGCTGAAAGAAACACTGCCAAAACAGAGAAGTGCTGCTGAGAAAGAGATGCAAGAGACAGGCATTGCTGAGTAAGACACCGAGGGACATGCACTGCTGGGGGAGAGACTGTGAGAGACTTGGCTGAGACGGTGGGCTGGGAAGGAGACTGAGTATTTTTTCCTGAACTTGAATTGTAGCCTGGTGCTTCCCTAATTGTTGTTGTTGTTGTTAAGTGCCGTCGAGTCGTTTCTGACTCATAGCGACCCCATGCACAGCAGAACGAAACACTGCCTGATCCCGCGCCAGCCCCACAATCCCTGCTATACTTGAGCCCATCATCGCAGCCACTGTGTCAATCCATCTCGTTGAAGGCCTCCCCCTCTTT